GCAGGTGACGGATCAGACGCTGCCAAACGTAACATACTAATGAGTGTTCGTAGTGACCGCATTACAACGCACCAAACAATGGGTTTGCCGCGATCACTGTATTTGAAAGTTGGAGGCCGTTACATGATCATCTACAATTTGGATACAAGTGACGGTCTCACAAACGGTGCAACAGGGCGATTAGTCCAGATCGATATGGGCAACCAGGGGAGAAAGCCGTCGCGAGTATGGATCGTCTTTGACGAGCCGGAAGTTGGATGTAATGCTCGAAGACGATACAGCAGCATCATTAGCCGTAACCAGTACCCTCAAAACTGGACCCCAGTGGAACCCACAGTCGTATCAATTAAGCGAAACAGGACATCAAATTTGCAAGTGCTCCGCAAACAATTCCCACTCCTGCCCGCTGAGGCAATGACTATACACAAAAGTTAGGGACAAACATATCAATGCGTTGTCGTCCACACCTCAGCAAGAATGACGCGTGACCTGCTGTATGTCGCGCTTTCACGAGTTACTTCAATTTCTGGCCTCTACATCACTGGGTCTTTCCAGCCTCCACGCGGACCGCTGAATAACGATCCATCAGCAATGGAGCTGCGGCATCAGGAGCAGTGCACACTACACCCATCATTCAAATTTTTACGCTCCGCACACAGCGCCCTTCAAATTATCTATCACAATGTCCAAAGCTTCGCAAAACACGGCCAGCAGATCGCAAGAGACGAAGTATTTACAAACAGTGACGTCATGCTGCTTGGTGAGACTTGGACACTGTCAGCAGATGAAATCAGTGTTAACGGGTTTCAGGCAGTCTCACGAAGCGACTGCAGTGAAATTCGCAGAAAGGCCGCAGGAGCCTGTCGCCTAGTGTCCGAAAAATTATTAGAGCGTGTACGAGGCATCAACAGCGTAACAAAAGAAGATGGGAATGGACTTCATGCGGCGGTTTTTAAGCTGAATGACGTTCTCATTGTCGCCACATATGCTAACCCCGGAGTCACGAACGAGAGCATCCAAATGCTGCCGACAGAAATCTGTTTCGACGAAGGCCGAAAGCTTGTAATGGGGGACTTCAATCGCGATACAAACGCCGGTCACAATCGAACTTTTCAGGAGATAGTGCAGCGACTAGGTCTGTCGATCAGAAACGCGAGTCAACCAACAACAGCCGCAAATACAACTTTAGATGTCATCTTAAGCAACTTCAGCGTAAGCTGCGGCACATACGTTTCACTGACAAGCTTCCATGAACCTGTTTGGGCGCGGTATGAAACCATCTGAGCACATCAGATCGCTGTAAGCTGCACTGCATGAAGCTCAGGGCTAAACGATCAACAACCTACTCGAACTGCTGCTGCAGATAGATTGATAGGTACGTAAATCTCTTAGTCAGGCTTGCAACACACACAACTACTGTTTAGATTTTAGCCTCAGGAGCAAAGAGAACGAAAAGTTAGTTTCACCATTTAGCCCCACGTTACAGGATCCTTTCATAAGTCGAATCCTATGCCAGCATATCTGCATCACCTCGTTGTTCACTTCTCTTTCTCTATCACTCACGAAATTCGGGCACTTTCTCGAAGCAAATGTATCGCTTCACTGTTTGCTTCTCTCTCTCTTTCGTTCGATCAACTAGGCCGGTTTCTGCAAGCATTCGAGTCGTTTCACTGTTCCCTTCCCTTTCTCTCTGTACACAAGCGAAGTCGGCTTCTCGAAACAGCTGCAACACTTCACTGTTCACTTCTCTCTCTATTTCCGCAGCACAGGTCAGAAGCTGAATTTAAATTCTTCATAAGCTGAATTTAAACTCTTGTCGCAATTGCAGTGCTGCATTGCTGGCCACGCACTCTCCCTCTCTCCCCAATTCAACTTCGCATCAGTGCGCAACTGCATCACTTCATTTTCCGACTTCCTTTGCCTCTGTCCTACGTTCACGTTGTCTGCAGAAAATTTGGGACAGTGTTGTAGCGAAGTTGTAAAACAACCACTCTCGACGTCACAGTCCCTCTGAAATTGAAATCAGTGGAGCTGCAAATCTCGAATGATTGCGCAACTGCAATTCACGAATTCTGCTTGAAACCCTGAGCGCAAGGCGGTACTCCATGACACCTATCCATATTTGACATTTCGTCGCATTTCCACACTGTCGCCTGCATAAGAATTGTGTTAGGCCAGCACGCAGATAGAACCACAGCTTTGCGAGAGCGACAAGGGCTGAGGCGTAAGACCATTTACGCTAGAACGGTCCCAATGACTGCTTTAGAATTGGGAAACTGCTACTTTCATTCCTCTGCTGTAATCGGTTCGAGCAATGCCAGATGTGTACCTCAGTCAGTTCTGCAGCCGCATGATTATGAAAATCACGGCTTTAAATTGACATTACGCACTTTTCTGCACTGATGCTTACCAGAGATACTTCGACGTCAGTGCAAAAGCCCAAAGCAGTTTTGTTAGAAATTATCGAATCGCAGATTGGGAGTCCAGTCCAGTCCCGATGGACCTACTGCAACAATTCAGTTGAATCTCTAGAACCTGGTGGCATTCTGAGAAAAAATTCCTCTTCAGTCTTATTCCCGTTGCCACTGCTCCCCGCAACCTGAATAATTTGCTTTGCGTATTCAAAACCCAACTAGCAGACGACTGCAACAATATCCACGTCCTACATTTAGCACACGACATTTTCTTGATATACTTTAAAACGCCTTATGAGCTGCGGCTTCGCCGCAATTAATTTTAATATCTTCTCCGCCTCCATTACTAATTGATTTAAAATGATGATGAAATCCTTCATAAGCTCTTTTAAGATAACGTTTATTGCAGACAACTGTATATATCCTTTATTGCAGACCTGCTATCCATGCGTTGCGCTATCCCCGGTTCTTGCAGATGCGTCTACCTCAATTTTGTATTTTGATTCCATGCTTCAATATTATTTCTTTCTTGCACGCGCAAATGTCATAACGTCTACACTTCTGTGCACTTTACACTTCTTTGAAAGGATAAAGTGAAACTACCGAATCTTCTTGCGCAACACAAAAATTGCTGTACACGAAACCAGGCAACACAAGAAAGGCTTATACAAGAGGAAAGATGCAAAAACGCCTGATCGCACGGG